ATTGCAAGTGATAAGTATTATTGTATTAGTATTCATTTTATGTCTAATTTATGTAATTAATATTATTTTCGTATGACTTTATTTCTATGTATTAATTATGATATTTTTCAAATATTAGTTTTAGTTTATTGTTAAATGTTAAGACTTATGAAATAGTTTGATATGAGAATCGGAGGTAGAGGACCCCATGGTTGTAAAATCCTGGATCCGCCTCTTCTAAAATGTCTAATATATAATATAAAATATATATATGTAATTATTATTATTATAAACATCATTTGACCGGGTTGTTGACTCCTGATTTGACTAGTTCGACCGATCAACGTACTCTGATCAGTACCTCAGCTCGTACGACGTCCGATCTGATTTTCTGAACATTATTGACGATTTTCAACCAATTAGAAAGTGTCACGCGACAAGCCATCGGTTCTGCTAATAATGGATCTCGAGCATAATTCAATCCGCCATTGACCGCGACTCCAAAATCATCCTCTCAAGATAGAAACCAGCTCAAACCGAATAGCATAGCGTACTTCGCATTTATGTACGGAATTGTAATTAATGAAAAAATTAATTAGGTACGTATTAATTGAAGCAGGAACCATTATATTTGTGCTACCACTCTACCTGTACGTGACTGGATTCATACTCCCACCATTTAATTTATCACACTTTAATATTCAAAAATTACGAAAATTTTAATTTATTTTCGTAATTTCATTAAGTATTTGATAAAATAAAATATTAATGCAAAACTTTTGACGTAGTTTTTATAAATGTAACTTTTATTTTTTTTCTTATACCAATCTTTAAATAAAATCAATTGAAAAAACTCAATATTCGACTTCGTTTAGAGTAATATTGCAATCTTTTTGGGACAGATGGAGTATGCTATTATTCTGTTTTTAATAAAATTAAAAGAGCTTAATTTAGAAATTGGAATTTAAATAAAGATTGAATTTTTTAATTACAGTAATAGCTCGATCAGTTACAATGTCGTAGCATCTTTTCATACAGATCCAATTTGATTCAAATCATTCCACAAATAAGCTGCCAGTAATTAATCTTTAATTAAAAAATTAATAGTGTTTTTACCTTGTTCAAATACTCCGTTTATACGAAACAAACAAATAAATCTGCAATGAAATCTCCAATATTATTTCATATATTTGTTCATAAATTCAATATTTTTTTTTCCAATGATTATTATAAGCGTTGTCAAACCGAGGTAAATATATATGTTGCATTTTGAGTATATATTGTTTATTAAAACGGTTTTATAGAATAATTAAATGAATCTCTTTTTGTTGAGGCACTACATATTCCCTTTCACGTGCTATTTCTTTGCTTCTTTCCTCGATAATTGTGCTGTAATATTCTTAGGACTGGTAAATTTTAGAAGATTGATAAGATATGTACTACTCTTTCCGTTTCTCAAAATGGTTCCTCGTTTGACTTTGGGAGAAAATAAAAAAATGTTAAATTGTAGTTGACTTTCCAATTTTGCCCTTGATATGATGGCTAAAAGTAAGATGTGATAGTTTAGTTGTCAGTGAAAAAATATGATGTGATAGGTAGGGTATGAAAAAGTAAGGGTAAAAGTGGGTTTTTAATAGAAAAGGGAAGTGTTTTAAGAAAAACAAAAAAATGAAAGAGGAAGAGTTTTAAGAAACGGAGTGAGTAGTAAATTTTAGAAGATTGATATTATAATTATTTTGAATTTTGAAAAAAAGATATAAGTTTTAAAATTTGTAACAAAGATAGATATATATTGATAGAGATTCAAAATCATGAATTTCAGTGGTGAAAGATAGACGACTGGTGAAATATTAAACATTCATATTGGTACTTCTAAAATTCACGAAACATCAAAACACCATCTTTTCGGAAGGTTTTTATGTCTCCCAAAAAAGTGTTAATAAAATTATTTTGTATGGGACGGATCAGAGAAAGTATATTAATTAGATTAAACAATATTTTAAAAATATTTTATAAAAATAAATCTAATAAAGTTATTATGTATTAATATCGAATATTAATTTTATGTAAATGATGGTCAAAGTTTGTTAACCTTAACTACAAATACTTAGAAACTAAAGTGGTTTTTTTTTCTCAACAAACACTCCCTAGTCCCTTCATAAATAATGGTTTTTTTGGTGGGTAGGAATAAATAAAGGAGTTTACTCGATCATGTGTAGCTTTATCTTGGGGGTTTTTATTACCAAAAAAACAAAAATAAAGGCTGTAAGTGCACATGTAATGCACAATTTCTTCAACTGGTTGCAAATAGATTATTCTTCTCTCCATAAAGCTAAAAAAAGAAAATACTCCCTACCTTTCTCATTTTCTAGTATATGTGTTTCATCTTTTGGGTTGGCTCAAATAATACAGATCTCATTTTCTTTTTAAAGAAACATTTTGTGATTCATAGCATTTTCTATGGCCTCTTTGATTTTCATTTATCAATTTCATCATTTTAACACTTTTTATTTTTCAATATTTCATTAATAATTAAACTACACGGTAAAAGTCAATCCAAACTTATCGAGATATTTCTATAAAATGGAAGGATTGGAGTTAAAAAAACATAAGCTAGGCCAAGTGACTTACGTGGAGCTAGGGGTGCGGCCCCTCTGCTTGTGACTGCCATCGTCGCATGTGAAATTTAAAACACCTTTACCTCAACTAGTAAAAATCATTTACACATTTGCACTTTACCACTCTCATCCAAACCAATCTTACCATACTTCCTCCGTCCCAAATTATTTGTCACATTTGCTTTTTCAACAATCGCGGGAACTTTTGTTTATTTCTACGTTTTCATTGGTTATTTGATAAAATAAAATATTCTTGACACCTCTTATTTCGAAGAACTTTTCATGTAGTTTTTTGATATGTAATTTTTATATTTTATTTCTTTACCAATATGTAAATAAAATGAATTGAAAAAACTTGATATTTTACCTCGGTAATAGAAATGTGACAAATAATTTGGGACGGAGGTAGTATTTTTTTATCATGCATTCCAAATCATAGACTCTTACACGCTATTACTTTAATTTTTCACTTGTCATAACACATAAAAATGGTAAATTATCATTAGAACTATCATGTTCATTTAATACTCCCTCAGCTCACTCCCTAAAAAGGAGTATCAAATTTTGATAAAAATAAAAATAAAAATAAAGGATTCTAACAATATTATGTGGCTCTCAAGGTTATTTGTTGTATTAATTGATCAATTACTTAATTTATGCTAAGCTACTATTTTATTGGTAATGATTCGATGGACGTAATTACTCTTATCATACTAAAAGAGGTTTTTTCTTGGGTGTATTATAGATAGAGGTTATTTATTAGACAACAACTAAAGAGGTGTCTGAAAATCATTATGCCAACTCTAAACCTAACGTAAAATTTCGGCCTCCTCTTAACCATTCAGTTACATGATTACCGGCTAGATATTATTTTAATCACTATTCTTGTTTCATTATATGATTGAAGAACTAAGAGGGACATTATTTTTTTTGAGGGGAGGGGACATCATTTATTAATGTTAAAGCTAATGTATTTATTGCGAGGACCCCGAGAGTTGAGGGGTACTTTATACTTCTTTCATTCTATATTAATTGTCTATTATGACTTTTTAGATACATTGTAAAGTGAGTAATATTGGCGCAAAATACGTCTGTCTACATAATACGGAGTAACTACATTCATTTATCTTTTAGTAGACAGATAATATGCAACGAAGAGTGTATTTTTTAAAAAGTAAAATTTGCACTAAATATGACTAAAACATAATGACTTTCCCAAAGTAGGACTTAAACTTTTTTATTCCCTAAATAGGACTTAATAATGACCTAGTCGGAAGAATAATGTCCAGTAATGATGGACATTTACTTGAATAATGACTACTTGATAATGACCAAAAGTCCTACATTAGGAAATAAAAACATATGGTCCTATATTGGGAAAGTCATTATGTTTTAGTCCTGTTTAGGTAAATTTCTCTTTTTAAAACTCTGTATTTACTAAAGCATTTATTTGTAATCCTCATAAAAAAATTCATTATATTTCTAACTCCTTATTATATTGAGACATGCAATATACAATCTGAAGGATGCAATAAATAAGATATTCAGTGCACTAATTCAAAAGTGAATTTTGTCAAAAATCTTCACATTTTTTAAAGACGGATCGGAGATGAGTATTTTCGAAATGCTTCATAAATATTCTGGAATTTTAACAAAATAAAATTTAACAAAATCGAAGAAAAAAACCAAATGAATATATTTCACAAAATAATTAATTCACAATTAAATTTCATCCAAACAGTGCACAAAAAGTCCAAATACTACACAATACGGAGTAATTTATATGGAATAATGAATACATATAACGTTTTATTCCGCCGTAATTTTTTTGAGCATATTTCCACCGTAAAAAAATTAATTACAGTACATGAAATTGTTCATGCCCGTAACAGTCACGTGGTAAAGAATTGATTGATACCTTAGCTAGCTTTCACACGGAGTAAATAATGTTTTTTTACTGCGAACCACTCTTTGAGCCATGCAGATTTACCGCACTCGCTTTTTTTTTTTTTGGATTTACCTCTAAATTTAATCCCAAAGTAAATTCTCATCCGCTGACCAAATATCCGCGTGAAACGGCTCGAATCCAGCTGCCAGCTGGAGCCACGGCGAAATGAACCCGATCTCGGCGGCTCTTCGGGTCGGGTCGGATAGAAGATCCGGCAAATCGAGAAACGGGTCGTCGTCGTCGTCCCTGCTCAGCGACGTCGCCGTCGATTCCGAAGTCGGATTCTCCTCCGGAGATGACGGCGGATCGGGTCGGGTCGGGTCTGACCAGTCGAGCGCGGCGGCTTTTGCGGCGGCCGCCTGGATGTCCTTGGCGGATTTAGAGGCCGGTCTGGGGAGGCCGGGCGCCAAGCCGGGGAAATTGAGGACCGCGGACGGCCCCTTGATGGCAATCGCCGCCACGTCGTGGGCCCGCGCCGCCATCTCCGCGGTGGCGAATGTCCCCAGCCATATCCTCGTCTTCTTCCTCGGCTCTCGGATCTCCGACACCCACCTCCCCCAGCTCCGCTTCCGCACGCCGCGGTATATCGGGTGTTTCCCGTCGTCGTCTTTTTTCCTCCTCTTCGACGCCGGGATCTTGTTCGGTGAATTTCCCGGCGGCGGTGCGGCGGCGGAGTTTAGATATTTATTGGCCGGAAAGTGATCGCCGGCTAGTTCCATGGAGAGCGTGTGGGGAGACACACCGTACAACAAAGGTGAGCTCATACCTTCCTAATATAGTATGGTCTCTCCCTCTCAAAGCAAAACTAATACTCCGTACTTTCGATTTTAAAAGAAAAAAAAAAGAGAAAAAGTTAAATCCCACAAAAAAAAAAATTAATTTCCATTTAACATTATTATACTAATAGAAAACAAATAATATTAAGAGCAATAACATTTTTCTAATATTAATAATATAAAGGAGAGGTTCCATTGTCACTGAAGAGGGTAAAAGGGGGTCGCTAGTGTGGGATTGAGGTGGGGTACAGTAGGGGTTTTAGCCTTTTAGGGGTGGGTTATGGGAGTAGAAATTATCAATTTTTCATTTAGAGCACCGGAAGAATTTCAAATGAGGGATTGTCATTCATCGACCTTAGTGTCAACGGAACCTTAGCTTATCGATAATTATAATTAAATGTTTTCAGCATTTTATTTTTTCTATAATTGTTACTCCGTATTTTAGTATGATTGGAATTATCCCTTCTATTTCATATATATAGAAATAAAATCTCTATTATTCAAAATTGCATCATGATTAGACCTGATCAAAGTAAGAGTTTGGCCGAAATATTACATTACGAGAATCTTTTAGGCCCGAGCCTGGCCCCACCAGTATGTATAGCGTGCCTAACAATTGAAGCCCGAGTCAGCCTGTGTGGATACATGCGGGCTTTGGGCCGGACCGGTTCGGCCGACAAAAAATTCTAAATAATTAAAAAAAATATTTTGAAAACACTAATGGGCTTGATGGAAAATAATACTTGAACCAGTCCAGATTTCCTAATTATTTATGAAGAAAACAATCAAATCGGACATGGTGAATAAAATAAGGGAACGAAAGATTATTCCGCTAGAGATGTCACTTTTTTCTTGTAAAAGGATGGCTCTCCTTCATCAAGGGGGAGGCCTCTCTCCTCTCACCACTCTCCCATACCTAATACCTTCTCATTCTCTCTAGACGGTGTCTCTATTTTTTTCTTCATTGAGCTTGTAGCTCCACCATTAAAGACCTATAAGTCTAAATAATGTACCATGTACAATTCCCGATATCAATAAAAATTCCTCGTTGGTAAAGTACCGCCAAAAAAGGTACGTAGTTTTCTTCCAATTCGGTTTCCACGTCAAAATTCTCATGTTTGTATTTTAGACTAGTTTATCAGGTTTGCCTGACTAAGATCGATACACTGGTCAAGATAATTTATTCCATCATTCTTTGCACCGACCGTGGAACCGTTTGAGTTTTTTCTATAAAAAAAATTCACTCACGAAATACCACCGAACAGCCATGTCAACCAGCCATCAGAACACTACTGCCAACTTCGTCCAGGGACGGGTCACCACCAGCGTTGTGGCGGTGGAAGCCACCACTTCCCAAGCTCTCTCTGCCGTTGTAATCCTTGTAGAGAGTAACCAGGACGTTGCATATATCACCAATCGCGGTGCCATCTGTTGGACACATGCCCACTTTCGCTTTACCCGTAGCCAACTCGGGGGTGACTTTTCCACCCAGCATGGCGTAAGTCGTCAACGACCCAACCAATCTGCAGGTGATTAATGGGTTTGACTAGGTCATGACTGTTAAGAGTATCCCACATCGGAACTTGAAGAGAAAATAACCCGTTATATAAGTCCTTGAGTTGAACTAACTAATCGATTGGATTCAATCTTTTAATGTTGTTCAACTCAAGTGTCTTATAGCCCAATCCAGTTATCCCTACCCCATCCTAAATTTTATCATGGTATCAGAGCCATTTTTAGCCCACCTCGTTTGTCAAGGTGTCCGTCTAGCTAGACGTTCATTCCTAGCGGCCCGTTAGTCTTTAGCCCAGTTGTCCGTATGGAGGTTGTACCCAACGGCATGTAGCCTGTTTAACACGATTGCTTGTCTAGAAGTCCATACCCAGCGGCTCGTGGTTCTTTAGGTGTTGGCGCTAAAAAAAAAGAAAGTCAAGGGAATGGGAGTTCATTTGCAAGTGGTCAACCGGTTAGATTCAAAATGGCCCGGTTGTCCACTTGAGGGGGAGTGTTAAGAGTATCCCACATCGGAACTTGAAGAGAAAATAACCCGTTATATAAGTCCTTGAGTTGAACTAACTAATCGATTGGATTCAATCTTTTAATGTTGTTCAACTCAAGTGTCTTATAGCCCAATCTAGATATCCCTACCCCATCCTAAATTCTATCAATGACCATGTACCAACGAGCGGGAGGCATGCCCTTCATTCCTGGGATGTACCTTTTTGCACTGTCTAGTGCAGAGCAGGTGCCGTTGAGGCGCTCAATTCAAGTTTGATTGCTTTGTACACAATGTGATTAGGCTAACCCATGCTTGGAAGGAGAGGTAGGACCAGAAGAGTTAGAACACACGAATGGATGAGCTTGCTCACTCGGAGGACTAGCGCCCTTGCTCACGGAAGTGAAATAGGCAACGACTCACAAGACCAACTTAGAAGGGTAGCCTTTTGAAGGTTGATAGTCTGGGATGAACCCTTTTGCCACTGGATTTCAACACGTGATCTCCCACTTGAGGTACTCAGTTTGATGTCGCTGGACTACTAGATCTTTAGTTACACCCCATATTTAGTTGGTTTTGTGGTCAATTTTTTTCACTCTAAAGTAAAAAAATATATTTACTCGGTACTTTTTTATTTTTGAAAGAAAGGGAGTGCTTTTTGGACGGAGGGGGTACGGTATATGCCTCTTATTTATTGTTGGATGGGTATATGCCTCTTATTTTATTTTTTTTTATCATTTTCTTTGAAAACAAATTTTTTAATATTAATTATTGTAATATGTCGTATGAGATGGAATAAAATAAAGTTAATTACTTGCAATTAACGAAAGTCAAAAAAGAAAAAAAGTGAGTGCATATCTACAATACGATATTCTAAAATCGCCCAAAAAATATATTCTCTCATCTGAAAAAGATCCTAAGATGGTCTACTGCTCTATTTTTGTCTGCATAATCATATTTAATTTGTGCTCATCAAATTTGCTACAAAAGTTATTTGTTTTATTCAAATGGTGAAAAGTAATTCTAGCTCTTTACAAACAAAAATTGGGTGTAACTTTTGTGTTTTTTTACTCCCTTTGTCGTCTTAGAGTATTTATCCATTCTTAACCTTTTCAATTAAAATTGGCAAATTCTAACCATAATTTAAATAAAATTGATATTAAATATTGATACAAAAATAATGTTATTAATTTGATTTTAAAAAATATTTTCAGAATATTATTTTATTTAATTATTATATGACATATAATTTATTTAATTAATTTTAGATCAAATGTTTAAAAAAATTGACTACAAAAAATTAAAATTGGACAAATAATTATAATTTGCAATAAAATAAGGCAGAGGCCACGCCGTATTTAACAAATAAAACATATTCATTTAACAAAAACTTGTGAGGTCCATATTACCAGTTGAAGTAAATCTCAATAAAAATCAATTTTTAAAAAAAAATCGGTAGAAAAATGTAAAACAAAAAATTAAATATGAGTAGAATTGAATTAAGTGCAGCAATGTGGTGGAGACATTATTAATTGGGAGTATAGTAGGAGGAGAATTGAAGTGGGTGAATATGATTGTGCACCTATATATTGTACTAATTGTACACCTATCATACCCACCCTTGCCCCTATTTCATTCTAATTTTGTACACTTGTTTTATTGTGACATCAAATCTATGGTGTTTAATATGGAAAAAGATATACTAACGTCAATATATAATGGGATCATCATAAATAATACTACTAATGTGTTTCACATATAAATTCCCCTTTGTATTAAAAGTTATATTCTTTGTGTCCATAAATTTACTTAGCTTCTTGGTTGAACTATGTCGATGATTTAAGTGTCATCAATGTTATTTTGTATATTAACACTTTGTGAAAAATCCTTTAAAATTTCATAAACAGAGTCCAAAACGAATAGTATCCGAACGTATGGATATTCCAAAAATGTTCCAAAACATCCGCGTCGCCACAAAAAAAATCTCAAATCTACAATGTTTTTGTCGTAACTTGGATGTTCCAAAAAAATTCAATTTTTTTAATTTTGGATTTTTTTCAATTTTTATTTTTCACTCTCGTCAATAATACTCTCAACGATGATAAAACTTCAATTTTCTTAAATTTCGTGTCAAGTAAGAACTTTTTAATTTGGGATGAAGAGAGTTAGTGACTTTAATACTTGTTAGATAGTATCCCCATCAACAAAGTAAGAAGAAAGTAATGAGTATATACGGAGTATAATTTTGGATTGAACTAAGTAATTAATTGGATTTAATCTTCAAATATGGTTTAGAGAAAATTTTTTATGGCCCAATCTAGTGAACCTTATATTGTCATAAATTCTACTCCGTATTTGATATCGGTCATTGGTGTAAGTTTTGACCCACCTCATTTGTCAAGGTCTCAGTCTAGATGTTCATTTTTAACGGCTCTAATCTTTAGCCCAGTTGTCGTGTATAATGCATATAGGTCATTTAACCAGCTGATTGCTTGTCTGAAAGTTTATACCTAGCGGCTTATTGTCCTTTAGGTGTTGGCGCTAAAAAAATCAAAGGGGTGGAAATCTATTTACAAATGATTAATCGGCTAGATTCAAAGTGTCCTGATTGTTCACTTTAGTGGAATGTTAGACTAGTCTATCCTGCACCAAAAAATTGAAAAGAATATAAAAGATTTATAAGTTTTTGAATTGATCTGATTAATCAATTGAATTCAGTCTTTTAATATAGTTCAATGTAGTGACTTATGATCATTTATGACCAAATTCAATGATTCTTATCTCATCCAAAATTCTATCAATACTAGTACTAACGGTGTTTTCAAACAAACCCACAATTTTAAAATCTTTTAAAATTCTTTTAAAGTCTTCCAAAGCAACAAAACATCCTTTCTAGTGATTCGTTTACAAATATAAAATTAATATTACGTTCATGCATGCAATCAATTAAGAATCTCTTCATTAACTCAATAAGTGTTGACTATGTACTATTGTACTCCCCTGCCTTTTTCCCACAAAAAGCTTAATTCTCACTCGGAGTTTCACGAACTTAAAAAATATATATTAAAAATTTAAAAACATATCATTAAAAATATATGTTTAAGAGGAATAAAGAAATTTTATATTTTTTATTGAACCAAATGAATATATAGATACGTGGCCATGTAGGTGCCCACAAATATGTCCATCACTCACTTGATTTTCACATTGTACTGGCGCAACTATATATGTGCTTGCCTCTTCAATATGCCAAATGCACGTAATTTTTTTCGACGGGTGGAGTAGTTGCATCATAAATATGTATGTAGGACCAATTAAACTGCAATTTTTTAACAAATAAATTTGACATTATTCATTTTACACACACGTAATCATTATCTAAATTACACAGATGGTTATTGTCTGTACATATTTGTGAAGCATACAACCACAAATTTTGATGTTAATTTAAATAGATTAACTTAAATGCGAGCGATGAAATGCTTATTTTATTTTAATCTTTATGAACTGGTCTATAAAAATGCATACGTAAACAAAAAATTATCAAACGTCTAGAATAGTAACTACTGGGACAATATTTTAGAGACAAAGAATATACTTGTATGATTTTAATTTTTCAAAAATATTGATAAAATAACAAACAAGAAACTCTTTTAAGAACAAAAAGTATATTATACTCCCTCCTTTCTAAAAACCTTTAATGCTTTGACTTTTTTTTGTCAACCAATGATATTCTTTGACCACAAATTAAACATAATCTAAATAAATAAATGATAGAAAAATTTGATACGGAGTATGTAAAAACTATATCATAAGATGAATCCAATTTCGTTAAATTTATATTATAATTAAATATATTTTCTTACAATTTATGATCGAAGTGTGTTAGTGTTTGACAAAAAACACAAAATAGAAAATATTTTTATGACGAGAGGGAGTATGTATTAGAGTGGACAAAGAAATCAGACTATGCATGGCATGTATATATTGGTGGTGGTCTATTCTCATTTTTTACGTGCAAAAGGGGCCACATCTCATTTATTGTTTTGTCCCTCTCCCAAATTAATATTTTGCAACTTCATTTACTGTACTATATCTTCATTGCCCAAAATAAATTTAAAGCTTACTTTGAACTTTTAAGATACATACACTCTTCGTCCCGATATGGCATGTACCGTTTAGTTCGGCTGGGTTCAATGGCCACAAATGATTCGTATCGCTCCTAACTCTTCCGATAAATTAAACCTGCCGCCCAGTCTCGACACCAACTCATCTCCTTACATATGTTAATTGCACCACGCAAGTATAGTTGACCTTATAATTTAAAATTTTGAGATCGGAATGAGTTAGGATCGGGATTGCAAAAGGCGCGGGAACAATCAATTTTTCGAATAGAGAATCGTAGATGTCTGATTCAGGGCAGTGGCTTCCGTAGCCACTGAAACCTAGTGGCCATAGAACCAGGCCGCATTTTAATATGTTCGAACTTTGGACGTGAAGTAAAATATATTCTCTCCGTCCAACGATAATTTTTTCCATTGCGGGTTACGATGTTTGACAGAAGTTATTTTCAAATAAGTTTATAAGAAAAATACTATGGAATTAAAACATAAAAAATTATTTATTTAAAAATATATGAAAAGATAGTTCAAAACAAGACGTGACATGGCTGTATTGTTCTATCAAATAGACATTGAAAATAGACTAACAAAATGAATAAAATTTAAATTTGTAAATAATGAATGCGAATATATATTATTCCTAGACGGAGGGAGTACTCAATTTCTTTTGTTTTTACTTTTTAGTGATCATCAATTAGGATTGTGATAATACAATTAAAAACAAATGGATGGCTAGAATATTTGTTCGGTTTGATATCTTTCAACAATTCTAGACAAACTTTGATCACAAATTAAATAAATATAAAATTACATATAAACACATGAAAAAACCTTTAAATATATTTTTGCATAATCAATATACATTTTATTTAATTAGTGGTAAATAATCATTAGTATGACTTTAAAATGTCAAACTAGTAGAATATTTTGAGACATATAAGTAACTT